TGTCAAATAAACAGTGTTAGAGAAAATTAACGAAAGAGAGTGGTTTTTAGTGGGTAGGGAGTACCGAGTTGGTAATTCGACTCGGTACTCGAGTTCCACATAGCTCACCGGATCGCCCGGTGAGTATGTATAAAATGCATTTTCCCCTCTCTCGTAAAAAAAAAGAACGGTACAATATAAAAAAATAATTAAAGTGAAAATGTGTAACAATAAAAAGTAAATAATAATTTTAGTAAGAGTAATAATAACTTCGAGTAAGCAAATGAGAGAGAGAGAGAGAGAGTAAGGGGCAAAAAGAGAGAGAGAGAGAGAGAGAGAGAGAGAGAGAGAGAGAGAGAGAGAGAGAGAGAGAGAGAATGAGAATTATGTATTCACATGTGTGTGTATGTAGCGACCAGCTGATCGCAGCGATCGCCCCGCATAAGCACCCGCGTCTGACGGTGAATCGCGCCGCCCTTGCCTGCCTCCGACCCGTTATAAGTTAATTGCTTCTTTTAATAATTGGAAAACTAAGCGTCGGACAAAATTTTACTAAAGGAAAAATCGTCTTAGAATTGACTAAAAAATGTGTCATTTCACGGACAATATACTTATTTTGAATCACCCAGGATATATATTGTTACGTCCCTGATGTTCGTGATCGTCAAATCGGCATCACGAACGATGAACATCTGGTTGTCAAGAGTTGTTTATAAGAAAAGAACAGCTGAGTCGGAAAATAGCTGTCAAGCTATTCAGACGCGTTTTTACATATGAGCCAATTAGTTGTGTTATTATTCTGTTATTGTCTGTGTTCTGTGTTGCTGTGTTGCTCATTAAAGTTTCTCGTTATCTTTAAAAGTGTTTATTCATTTTACGCGGTCTGCGATGGCCGATTTTCTTAGTGCGCGTCTTCGAACGAAATCTTCGTCCAAAGCGAAACAAACCAAATAGCACACAAATGTCCGAAGGACATCCATAAGATGATCATTAAGAATATTGAGGATATCTACAGATGATCCGTTTTACGTTCTTCGGAGATTCAGTGAAGTCAGAGAGTCAGTGGTATATCTGTTTATGAAATTGATGGACATGTTTTAATCCCTACATAATAATATAATTTATTTATTTCATATAAAATTTTACATAAAAATTTCATATAAAAATTTTATTTATAAGTTATATTTACATATTGTACTTTACATTTTAAAGAAATAATGAACGGATTATTTTTGTTTATTTGGCGAACATTTACTTGTCCGATTTATAAAATCAATTTAATATCTGAAATTCTTATATTGAGATCAGAAATTAAATTGAATAGTATATTTTTAATCTTATTTGTTACTCTTTGCAAACTTTATATAATTCTCATAACTAAAACTTAAATACAAGAAAGATAGCGCATCGCACGTCGCATAACGGTAAACGAACGAACTAACACATCTTTGCGTGCTTGCACGAAACTTTGATGACCAATATCGGACATTCTGTGAACGTCGAAGAATTGACCGTTAACGGATGTCCCGAATCGGATGTACGATGAACGATCATTTCATGTCCATGGACTTAAAATGGACATAAAATGAATGTCCATAGAATGTCCATAGAATGTCCTGTCCATAGAGTGTGCTGTCTGGGAATATAATATATATAATTATTACAAAAACTATATTAATTTCTATTTACAAATATTAGGAAAAACAATTAAGATAAAATACATAATTTGTTTGTTTAAATAAAAATTGTTTAATGTATAAATTGTTTAATGTAAAAATTGTTTAATGTATTTCATTTATTTTTTAAAACCAATAAAAATAACTATATTGACAAGAGCTACCATAATTTTACAAAATACAATTTGTCACGGACGATTTCCGCGAAACGCCGGCGGATAGTCGTAGCATCAGAATGCGGTTTTTTTAGACAAGCTGAATAATTGCTCTCGGTGTTTAAGTCAAAAAATAAAATTGATTTATTTGAAAGTGCGTAGGTATGTGTACAAGTACAAATGTGTCTTGTGTGGATATTGCATGAAAAAAAGCCGTGAGTGTGCAATACTAATGCGCGGAATGCGGTGTGATCGGACGGTTTAAATATGCGGTGCGAAAATGCAATAAATGTACGGCGTGTGGTGTGATTGTACGGTCTGAATATACAATATGAATGTAGGATGAATATGCGGTGTATGATATGACTGTACGGTGCGAATGTACAATGTGAACGCACGGTATGCAGCGTGTTTATACGGTGTGCAGTGTGTTTATACGGTGTGATTGTATAAGTGCACGGTATGCAGTGTGAAAATGCATGGTATGCAGTGTGATGGTACAATGCAAATGTCTTATGTAAATGCACAGTATGTAGTGTGATTGTACGTGTAAGTGTATAATATCCCAGACAGCACACAGATAAAATATTCTACAAATATCCTTCAAAGATATTGAAAATATCCATAAAATGTCCGTTTTATGTTCCTCAAATATACAGTGGATATTCATAGCATATCCAAATATGAAATTAGTGGACATAATTTAATCCCTGACGTGTCCAAAAGATATTCGATGAACGTCTAATGGACATAAATTAGCAATAACAGATATACAAAACAAACTTTATATGGACGTAATAAGAAGATGAAAAAGGGATTACATACAAAATTTGAATTTACATATTAAAAAGATGAAATATATATTTTTTTAAGTAATACATTTATTAAAGAAAATTTATATCACATATAATACATTAATGCAATATCACATATTATTTAAATGTTACTTTTATTGCACAAAACGATTATAAAACAAATAATTAAAAAAATGTGTATTATATGTGTGAAAAAAGAACAACCTTTATGATCTAAACATATCATATTTTTTAAACGAAACATATATATTTCAATCCTTGAATAATAATATAATATATCTATTTCATATAAAATTTTACATAAAAATTTTATATAAAAATTTTATTTATAATTTATACTTCCATATTGCACTTTACATCTTAAATAGATAATGAAAAATTATTTTCGTTTATTTGCCGGACATTTACTTGTCCGACTTATAAAATCAATTTAATATCCGAAACCCGTGTTTTTAGATCAGAAATTAAATTGAACAATACATTTTTAATCTTATTTGTTACCTTTTGCAAACTTTATATAATTCTCATACTGAAACTTAAATACGAGAAAGATAGCGCATCGCACGTTGCGTAGCAGTAAACGAACGAACTAATACATGCTTGCGTGCTCGCGAGAAACTTTAACCTCCAAGACCGGACAGCTTGTGGACGTACAAATATTGACCATTAACAGATGTCTTAAATCGGATGTATGTTTATTTTATGTCCATGGACGTGCAGACGTAAAATGGACATAAAATGATTGTCCATAGAATGTCTTGTGCTGTCTGGAATATGTAATATGCACGGTACGCAGCGTGTTGGTTCGGTGCGAATAATATAAATGTACGGTATGCAGTGTAAAGTGTAAGTGTATAATTATATGTGTGCGATACAAATGTTAATTTTGGTTTAATCGCCGCGGAAATCAGAATGCGTTAACAGGCCTCGCGCGATGCAGAAAAACTCTATCAGCTGTTCCGCTGTTATGTTATTGTATGCTGTCGTTGACCGCGACGCATGCCGATGTTTTTGCGCCATGTTCTTATGCGCAGTCTTAGCGTCGTCTTCTATTTCTCGATTCGCGCTCCTTTTCGCGTTCGGATTTTAATTAATTTTCGCGTGGATGGAAAAATGCTGGAATACGCCGTGCCGACGAGAACAGTTCGTCAGGGGTAGCTCTCTACTCTACCTCGGTGATTTGATTGCAACGACGTTGCGGCGGCGGGATCTTTTGCCGTAATCGAGAACACTCGATAATATCGGAGAGCGCTCCAATATTCTTTTCGGGCAGAATTTGACTACAGTTCTGGATTTCTCCTTAGCCTGAAACCGAGAGTGCTCGGCTGAGGAGGAGTTCGCTCCATCTTCTGTTCAGAACTTTTAGGCGCTTTCAGGATCGGAACTAGGTTCGGATTGTCCTTGCTATCGCAAGGCGGAATCGGAATCTGGGTGCCGTAATTACGCCGAGGGCCTTTTATATTACCCCGAATAATTAATCTCGCGCCGGCATAAAAATGGGATGGCCACCAAGCAGCGGAAAAACGGTGCGGGACGGATCCATTCGATGGGGCGCGACGGAGCCAGACGCGGGAGTTCTCACTAAGGCTACTAGATTACACACTCAGCGGCGGCACGATTCGTATCCCTACCACTTTCACATAGACACTAAGGCTGATGGCAGAGAACTAGATGTCTGTCGTAGTCGTGGACGTAAAGTAAGGCAGAGAAAAACGTATGTTGTACAAGGCCTTGTGACAATGGCCTTGTTCGACATACGTTTTTCTCTCTTACTTTACTTTCACGACTACGACAGACGTAAGCGCTCACGTCTGTCGTAGTCGTGGACGTACAGTAAGGGCCATAGCACATAGCATGGCGTAATGGTCTTAAAAGTCTTAAGACGTAGACGCAAGTCAACGCACAAGCTTTGGCGTATGTCGTAATGTCGTGCAACAAATAGACAATACGTGAATTGAAAAAGCATTGAAAGTAAGTAAATGATCTAATCATTTTTAAGTTTTTATTAATAAAGAATAATATTATAATTATATATATCCTGAAATTAAATAATGCAATTTTTATTCGTTCTTCAAGTATGATAATAGTGAAAATAATGAAAATATGTATCTATTTTGATTACATGATATATAATATTCTAGGTTAGTTGCAATTTTTTTTATTTATTTAATATTGTGCAGTTATTATGAAAGAAAATAAAATAGATTTCTTAATAAAATTTATTATTTATTATAAAACAATAATATTTTTGTTGCTCATGCAGGTGCTTATCCAATAGACATAATATTTTAAAAGAGTATAATATGTACGCAAAAAGCAAGAAGAAAAATATCAATTTTTTAATATGTGTGCTACATTGGATGTGCACGTATATTTTACTTATACGAAAAAAAAAACAAATCAGATGGTTGCACAGACGATGGTATGTTAGGCCAATTAAACAAAAGAGATCAATTTGGAGATTATAATTGTTTATTCCAAGAACTTAAGAATGATGAAAAAATGTTTTACCGCTACACAAGAATGACAACTGAACATTTGAACAAGCTTACAGAATTAACGACACCGTATTTAAAAAAAATAAATAAACATGCTCTTATTCCGGAACATAGACTTATAATAGCTTTAAGGTAAGAAATTCTGACATTATACAAGATTTTAAGATGTTTGATATGTATTGTAATTATTATAATTTTTGTCTTCATAAGAACTAATTAATGTGTAATATATGTTACTTTTTGCAGATATCTTGCTATAGGCGATTTACCGTTATCCATAGCTGTAGCTTTTAGAGTTGGCGAATCTACAGTCAGGAAAATAATAAAGGAAGTTTGTTTAGTGTTAATTAAAGTTTTACAACTTCTATATTTTGTTTGTCCTAATGATGAAGATTGGAAAAAATGTGCTGATGGTTTCTGGAAACGTTGGAATCTTCCTAATTGTGTTGGATCGATAGATGGGAAGCACATAAGATTACGATGTCCTCCAAATTCCGGAACTTTATTTTACAATTATAAAAAATATTACAGCATAGTATTAATGGCAGTAGCAGATTCTATATACAGATTTACACTAGTTGATGTAGGAGCCTACGGAGGTAAACTTAATATATAAAATTATTCACACTTATATTAAATGTAATGGAAATAAAGTAATTTATGTATATGTTTATATTTAATTCAATACAGGAGACAGCGATGGAGGAATTTTTAATGATTCTCAAATAGGAATTAATTTGAACAATGAACAATTAAATCTGCCAAAAGAAATTGTTAATCTTCCTGATACCAATATAAAAACATTCCTATATTTTATTGGTGATGATACTTTCAGACTGTCGAATAGAATAATGAAACCCTATTCTGGTAAAAACTTAACCGATATACAGCAAATCTGTAATTATAGATTTTCAAGAGCACGCAGAACTGTCGAAAACGCTTTTGGTATTTTTGCCAACAAATGGAGAATATTTCATACATCTATTTGTATGCTGCCAGAAACTGTAAACATAATTCTTACAGCTTCAGTTTGTTTACATAATTATGTGTTAAAAGAAGAGCAACACAATGAATATAAATATTACAGTCAAGAGATAATTCGAGAAAATGATGTAAATAATATATAAATACTTATGATGAAGTAACTCTATAACTATTATATGCATATTTTATTTATTATTATTTAAATAACATTCATTAATATCTATTGTAGAATACAATGTGGCTGTCATCAAGTGGTGTCGAAGAATGTAGTGGTAACGTAAGGGATGGTCAAGCTCAAAGGGATAAACTATGTGAATATTTTGTTTCTTCAGCTGGAAGACTGGAATGGCAATATGACTATATTCATAGACTATATTCATTTATTTTTGAATTTAATTTATATTCTTTCCGTTTCTAATTATCACCGTTTTATGTCTCTACGAACCGTGTTACTTAATGCTCTAATCTTCGTTAATTAAATTGCGCTGAAGATGACTTGAAGACAAGTCGAAACGTCCGCACACACCTTTTATTCTTATATATATTATATTAGTTTTGTTTTTTGTTTTTGTATTATGAACTATTAATATATATTTTTTTCTGATTATTGACCTACATTTTTAATTTATACTTAGCTCTCTACGCCTATTGGACCTCTTTAAATTTTATATTCATAGAGGTCTATATCAGAATGAATAAAATAAACGCAATTATAAATAGTTTTTCTGTTTTTTAATCAAACCGTTTTGTCAATCAAAATACATTTGTCATCAAAATACAGTTATACATGTTATATAACAAAATACACACAAATATATTGTGTAATGTCGTAACAAAAAATAAATTCTTTCTTTTAATTCTACATAACACATACATATTTATTGCAACAAATAAATAAAACGCTTCTTTATGACACAGCTATTTATCCGTCTACATTCACTATTTTTAGTATAATAATAATAGTAATTTCTTATTTGATATTACATTAGATAATAAAAACAAAAAAAAATTTATTTTTCAGTCTTTAGTATTTTAGCATAACGAGCTTAACGAAAAATATTATAAATTCTTTTTTCTAAGTTACATAAAATATATGAAACACATCTTTTTAACATAACTATTATTTATCACTGAACAGAAAATAAAATTACGTAATTACTCAATAAATGAAATAATAATTATGAATATGTATTAGAACATTTAACAAATAATAAAATTTGTAAGGGATTAAGCACAATGAAAAATATAAGGAATAGGAACAGGGAATAATAAGTAGAAAAGAAAGAGAGAAAAAGATATTTCTTTTTAGCTTTCTTTCTTAGGTTATTCCCTGTTTTTATTCCTTATATTTTTCATTGTACTAGAGCCCTAAAAATTACATTTTTGGTAAAGATGTAGATATAGCATCCATGATCATTTTCCTTCTTAAATTTTTTTTCATGTTCTGGAATATTGTTAAGCTGTGCTTTAATAAATTCTATAAATATATCATCTGGTGTAGATTGTTGTGAACAAGATTGCTGTGAAGTCTCCATATAATTACTAATTTTATTACTTAAACTGAAAAACGTTTGTTCCAACTCTTTGGTTTCATTCATTTTTCTTTTTTTAAGTTTTGGAGAACATTTTAGAACATCTGGAGATTTATCAATATTAATATTTTGTTTATCATTTGCATTTGTATTTTCCTTATTATTTGAAGAATAAGCAGAAATATTGTCGGAATCACAAGTTTCTTTGGCTAAATTTTTTTCAACAAAAACATTTGCTTCATTTTCACTTGCTTGAGATGTTGCATTAATATAAGTTCTAAAACAAACAATAATAGATATTAAAAACGTTAAGCTCTTAATGCTAAAAACAAGTTATTATTAATATAATGTTAAATATTTTAAATTATGTTAATTTATTTACTACAAATAAACTACCTTCTTCTTTTGATGACTTGATCTAAGAATGACAATTGAGAATAAAATGACCATTTAGAAGAATTAGGATGAGCTGCACTTCCACTTTTAGATTGACTTTCTATTTTTTTTTCTCACGATTGTATTGCTCTCGTAGTGAGCAACATCGTTTTTGACAATATTGTGGCGTGTAAAGATCACCTGTAATAACAATTCAAGAACAAATAAAGACATGTATAATTAAAAATAATTCAATAAACAACCGTATATAATAATTACCGCAATTAGTTGCAATCATTATTTTTGATATTTCTTTCCAAGCATTTTCTTTCATTAATATGTTCTTAAAATTTGAATTTTTTTTGTCAAAGAAAAGGCCTTTCTCTATATAATTCTATAAGGAAATCATCACCATTTCTTTCTTCAACAATGACATTTTCACTATTATAATCTTCCAATACATCTTCAGCACCAATATTTAATTCATCTACATAATCATAGTAACTCTCATGGTCTGACATTTTTGTCCGATGATTTTTTTCTTAATAAGAACCTAAAAAAAACTGATTTGTAAATTAACATAAAAAGAGAACAAAACAATTTTATATGAAAAAAAAGAAAGAAAAATTATAGCTAACTTAAAATATATATCTTGTAATCAAAATTGTAATCAAATTGCAACTAACCTAGAATATTATATATCATGTAATCAAAATAGATATTTTCATTTCACTATTATCATACTTGAAAAACGAATAAAAATTGCATTATTTAATTTCAGGATGATTATATATAATTATAATATTATTCTTTATTAATAAAAACTTAAAAATGATTAGATCATTTATTTACTTTCAATGCTTTTTCAATTCACGTATTGTCTATTTGTTGCACGACATTACGACATACGCCAAAGCTTGTGCGTTGACTTACGTCTATGTCTTAAGACTTTTACGCCCATTTTTAAGACCATTACGCCATGCTATGTGCTATGGCCCTAAGACAGAGAAAAACCGTATATCGTAAAATTCACCATTGTGAATGCGGAAAGTGTATCGCGAACGAGGTAAGTAATATTAATATATAAATATACTGAAATATATATTTCTGAATATTTTATATATAAGTAAATATACTAAAAAGGAATAAAATAAAAATAACTTTATTTAAAATGATTTGTCTTCATTTCGTTTATCGAAAAAGTAAATGTCAAAATAGAAATTGTTATTTTAGGTTAATTAATATTTTTAGGTTAATTAATATTTTTTTTTGCTATTTCAAAATACATTGTAGGAAAAAATTTTCTTAACAAATTTTCTTAATTAATTTTCTTAACAAATTATCTTTCTATTTTTTAAAATTTGTATCTAATTTTTAATTTGTTTCTTCAACAGAAAATTTACCTTTTTTACAACCGCTCCCACAGGGCACAAAGACGTCTAAAAGACGACTAAAACTGGACATATTTTCGTCAAAGACGTCTTTTAATTAGAGACAGTAGTCGACGAAAAGTCGACTAAAAGTCGACATTTACTTGTCCGACTTATAAAATCAATTTAATATCTGAAATCCGTGCTTTCAGATCAGAAATTAAATTGGACAATATATTTTGAAAATACATTTTTAATCTTATTTGTTATCTTTTGCAAACTTTATATAATTCTCATAACTGAAACTTAAATACGAGAAAGATAGCGCATCGCACATCGCGTAGCGGTAAACCAACGAATTAATACATGCTTGCGTGCTTGCGAGAAACTTTGACCTCCAAGACCGGACATCCAAATTGTGGACGTCCAAATATTGACCATTAACGGATCTCTTAAATCGGATGTACGATGGACGTTTATTTTATGTCCATGGACGTGTGGACGTAAAATGGACATAAAATGAACGTCCATAGAATGTCCTGTGTTGTCTGGGTTTGGACATACAAATTCTAGACTTTAAAAGGTCGATGAAAGGACGTCTTGGTGTAGTCGTCTTTTCGACATAACGAAAAGACATCTATAAGTCGTCTTTTTCGCCATGTCCAAAAGTCGACTTAGAAAAGACATCTTTTCGTCGTCTTTTAGTATTTTGTGCCCTGTGGGCTACTAAGAGTAATATAAAAAAAGTCTGATCACATTTAAATTACTGCAATACTATTGCTGATTTGCCTGATAAAATCAGTACAGATGACTGGGATAATGGTTGTGAATCTGCATCTAATGATATTGACGAAAAGAGTGGCGATGAGCTTCTCATTGAATTATATAGAGAACGTCCATTTTTATATAATAAAAGTAATACCAATTTTAAGGATAGTTTGATGAAGCAAAATGCTTGGGATAAAATATTCAAAATAATGACTGAAACTAATAGTGAAAAATAAATTTGAAAATTTATATAATAAATCATATAATTACAAAATAATGTTAATACATAGGCGCGCGCACGCGCGCACACACACACACACACACACACACACACACACACACACACACACACACACACACACACACACACACACACACACACACACACCACACACACACACACACACGCACACACACACACACAAATTTTTTAAATCTTATACTTTCTGTTTAGGTGACATGTACACTCCTTCATATTGTCAAAAAAGATGCATCTCCTTAAGAGACCAATACAGCAGAGAGAAAAGGAAAGCTGAAATGGAATGTAAAAGTGGAAGTGCTGCGGCTAAAGCTACTCGATTTCCTTTTTTTCACAATTAGCATTCCTAGATCACGTCATTAAAAGACGAAGATAAAATAATTTATTGGATTAATTCTTTAAATATATTTGCACATGACATATATTTTATTTCCAGAAGCTACACTAATTGTGCAAAATCTCATTTAAGTATAGTTGATGAAAATAGTACATATGAATCACAAAGTGCTACAAATGCAGAATCAAGCAATGAAGAAAATGAAAATGTATATAAGCAGTACACTTATAATATTAAAAATTTTAAGAAAGAAAATGAGCCACCAAAGATGAAAAAACGAAAAGTTAATGAAACAAAGGAATTAGAACAAACATTAGTGCAAATGAGTCATAGAATTTCAAATTATATGGAATCGAAGGTTTCAACAGCTGATGATGCTTTCATGGAATTTATAAAAGTGCAATTTAACAATATTTCAGAACAGGAAAAAAATATAAGAAGAAAAATGATTATGGATACCCTGATTACACCATTATCAGAAAAGTAATAATTTCTTTTGCTAAAAGAAATCATATTTTTATTTTATAATATAATATAGACATAGATTCTTTTCTTTTTTTCTGTGATAAGTTTGTTTGATCTCAGAGGAATTAAATTAGATAAAATTTAACCTACCAAAGTCATTTCTAGTTTGTAAAAGATCATATAAAAATATTTTGTATGTTATTTTTGGTATTATATAATATATATACATATATATAATTTAAATAGTTTGATAAGAAGAAGCTTGTGATATTGTTTGTGCTTATTTTTTTCATTTGATGTTACAAGTAACGTTTAATGTAATAGATATTTGTAATACATTTATAGTTCATATAATAAATTTCTATTAATTTTACAATAATTTTGTAACGGGCGTTTTTTTTTGCTCGAGCCGCGGATAAATGCAGTCGTGATTTT